TGTCATAAACTTTACTGTAAATGCCTAATTTAATAGCCATGTTCTCTAGGAAATAAACTACATTTCTAAAATGACAAAAAGAAATATTGCTATTTCATACTACCATACTTTACCTTTGTGCTATTACTTTTTAATGTATTATATCCAGCATTTCTTTCATACGGTCGTCATATCAATGTAACCATACTACATAAAGTGATGCTAATCTTTGTATGACGTATTATTTACTGATGAAATGTGGTATCACAGTGATTTCCTTCTCACATAATGACACTCTTTTAGGAAATCAGTTACCATATAGAAGAATTTATAGTCCTCTAAGTGATCATACACAACATTTCTATAAGAATCTCACTTTTTGAGAACAAACACTTTTAGGTCCAGCGATGTGCTCACCCACACTGTCCCTTCTCCCCTGCTTCTCTCCACGGCACCAGCATCTCAACTTGCGGCTGCACAGCCAGGTGCCCACTATGAATGCGCGAGTCATGCTGCGCATCCTGATTGGCCCTGGTTCCCAGGAAGCTGCTGGAGGAAGAAAGGGGCTGAACTTCCATTTCACTTTGCAGTGGTGAACTGAGCCGGAAGTGTCAAAACCAGGTACCCGCTCCCCCCCAAAAGGTGCCAAATATGGCAGTGGGGGAGGAGGCAAACAAGCAGAGCTTCCACTTTTGGGTGGAATGCCGCTTTAATCACCCACACACATCAGAACTCTGAGCAATCTTGATGGAGGAAATAGAAAAAGCTCTGTTCAACCTCCTTGACTGTCTGGAAATGTTTGGAGTGTCTATATGAGATGTGCTGCACTCAAGAGTAAATACACAACAGTTTCCTTCCTTTAAGGTGCATTGGTAAATTTCTAAAGAAAAACCCTGCAAAAGGATATAGTACCTAAAAGGCTAATAAGCAGTATAAATGTATTAAGGACATAACAATTAGACAAAGTGTATCATATAGTCAGACAATGCACATACCCCATTCCTATCCACGTCCCTCCCCCCCAGACTCCCCACCCCCGACTCCCAGGTCCAGGACACCGAGGGCAACCCCCCCACTCTCTATAATCCCTGAAGTCCCCCTTTCCCATGAAGGTTGAAATAATCCCCCGTGAGTCCCTCTGTAGTTATGCCTGTAATGGTAAGTATATCAGGACATGGAATCCAGCTGACAGGAGAAGTTCTAATCTGTATGCATAAATTGTAAATCCACAAGGTGTAGTTCCACCATGAAAGAGGAGAGCAGCTGAACGGGGCAACCTATGTTCCTCCAATGAAGTGTAACTCAGTTTGTGACTGTAGTAGGTATACTGATATTCTCTATCTCCTCATAACATCACCAGAGCCTGTCTACTGGTCATCTGGCTACTGTGAGCATATGCACGGACTCTTGCTGGTTCCACGTGGTGAGATTGTTTCATACTTATCACTGTATGATTTCAGGATTCTACATTACGGTTCATAGACATACAGGGGTTTATTTACTAAAGCTGGAGAGTCCAAAATCAGACTCCCTTCTGCATAGAAACCAATCAGCTTCCAGGTTTCATTGCCAAAGCTTCATTGAACAAGCTGAGGTTAGAAGCTGATTGGTTTCTATGCAGAAGGGAGTCTGATTTTGGACTTTCCAGCTTTAGTAAATAAACCCCACAGAGTCAATCAGGTACCTTCTTAGAAGGCTGGACCTGTATTATGCCCATTAGATGACCAGTAGACAGGCTCTGGTGATGTTATGAGGAGATAGAGCATATCGGTATACCTACTACAGTCAGTTGGTCGGGGTGGAGAGCCTTGGGGGGGGGGGGGATAATCGATAGGAATGGGGTACGTGCATTGTCTGACTATATCATACGCTTTGTCTAATTGTTACATCCTTAATACATTTATACTGCTTATTAGTCTTTGAGGTGCTATATCCTTTTGTGGGGTTTTTCTTTAGAGTGTATTGCTGTTGGATGCACCGCCCCTTTTATTCAGGGTTTGGCATTGGCAGATATACCATTCCCGGGGCAGGCTATTGGCCATGGGGGTTTTTATGCATTGGTAAAATTGCATCATTTCAGTGAAATGAATTGACGGCATTCAAAAAGGCAACATTTAGGTGGTTTCTGGTTTTTAACACCAAAATACACATACAAATCCCCCCTCACTCTAATTGAGCAAATTTTAGTAATGCAGCTAAATAAGCAACATTTACAGTATCATTTAGCAGAGAACTGTTTAAAGTTTGTAGGAAGAGTTTTCTTTCTGCTCTAGGAGGTTGCAGAACCTGTGACCTCTGTTCAGACAGTGCTGATTGACACTGTGCTGATCACATGCATTCTCCCAAGAGAAAAAAAAAAAACACCTCTCTAGCAACACACACCAAACTGAACATGTGCAGAGTGTCTCCACACGATGTGCCTTATCAGGAGACAAGAGGAGAACACTGGAAAAAGGGGAGGATCAGAGAAGTCATGATCAATCAGCAACACAATGCAGAGGATTAACCTCTTATGTTCCACAGTGAGTAAATCAAGCATGCTTTACTGCATATACAGACTGATTTTACTGTTGTGGGTTTAGTAACACTTTAAAACCTCAAATCATTGTACATTTTCTGACAGCAGAGCACTGGTAGAACATAGTGATGGTTGTTGCAATATTAGTATGTTACACGATATTTGCACTATTGTTTATCAAATCTACATTTGCAGCAAAGTGCACTGAAATCATTTTAGTGCACAAAAACACAATATAAGTTCAACATTTATTGACAATATTAGTTGTTTTAAGCAAATAGATACCCACTGAGATTGATTTACTGATTTGAGAATGTTCACACAATAAAGAAGATTCACTTAAATTATCCAATCATGTGAAAAGTAAATCTTTGTTTACTTATTTCTTCTGCACATTACTAAACTAATGAAGTGAATATTCACACAATGTATTGAGTGAAAATTCTTAACATCTTTAGTAAATCAGCCTGAATGTGTCAAGCTTCAAAATTGTGTGTAAAACTACAAAAACTGGAATTGTTCATAAATCTTTTACAGCCCATCAGTTTAAAGTTAACCATAAATTAAGGCTCTAGAATTATTCTTGTCACTCCAGCATGCATGACAATGCTTAATATATGTTGCACAATTGTCAATTACATGTTTACTCATTTGCATTTGTATGCGTGGGGGTGTGTGTGTACATGGGAGTGGGGACTTTTTTTTTAAACTGTTCATCAAACTTTAATTTTTTTAAAATTTTTAAAAGTTTGTTTTAGACTTTATTGCTATTACAAGGGGACTGACCAGACATCAATGGGATAGTATAATGAAGGTTAAAGGTTCTCTTTAACCATTTGCCGCCCTCCCTATGGCTGAATGACAGCTGGCAAATGTCATCAGCGTTCCAGGTGGACGCCATATGCGCTCCTGCAGAGCCGCACAGTGGCGCGATCTGTCACCAGCCGTGTGCCTCGGACACGGCCGATGACAGATCTGAGTATCGGCCCCGTTGCCGGTACCATGTGACCTGCTGTGACCAATCACAGCAGGTCACATGACAGTTGTATACAATGGATGGCTTCATTCATGCCATCCATTGTATACTAGTGTCTAGCTGTGAATGGTCACAGCTAATCACCTGCACCTGAATGAATCGATGTCAATGCTTGCTTATAGCAAAGTAATTATTTGCTATAAGCAAATTGTGTAAAAAAAAAAAAAATACTGATCACTTCCCCAAAGTAGTACAATGTTACTATGGTAACATTGTACTACTTTGGTCATAGTGAAATATGAAAAAAAAATCTTAAAAAAAAGAAAAAACAATTTAATAAAAAATAATAAAAAAAAGTATATATTTTTTTTTTTCATACTGTCACCAGTCAGTGTCCCTGATCACCGCCATGCCAGTAATATGATGACGCTGTACTGCACTGGTAACAATATGTAAAAAAAAATAGTGAAAATAATTTTTTTACTTTTTCATTTTCCGAAAAATTATGACAAAAAAAAATACAACTTCAAAAAACTTGCCATTCCTCTTATGAAGTACGTCGGACTGTCTACTTTTCAAAAAGGGGTAATTTGGGGGATATCTGTACTGTTCTGACATTCTTGGACCTCAAGAAATTAGATTGGCTGTCAGTACTTCAGGATTGATCAATATTCAGATATATACCATAGTTTGTGAACTCTATAACTTTCCTACAAACTAAATAATACATCCTAATTTGGGTTATTTTCACCAAAGACATGTAGTAGAATACATCTCGGCCTAAATTTATGAAGAACAATTATTTATTTGTAAACTTTTATAACAGAAACAAAGAAAAACGTGTGTTTTTTCAAAATTTATGTTTTTTTTTGTTAATTTAGTAAAAAATAAAAACCCCAATGGTGATTAAATACCACCAAAAGGAAGCTCTAGTTGTGTGAAGAAAATGATAAAATTTTAGTTTGGGTACAATGTTGTATGACCGCGCAATTGTCATTCAAATTGTAAGAGCGCTGAAACCTGAAAAATGGTCTGGGCAGGAAGGTGTAAAATTGCCCGGTATTGAAATGGTTAAGGAGACATCAGAGACTAATGTCTTCCCTTCACTCTACTTAAACAGAACACACAGACACTGCACTTGATCTGCTGTTTCCCTGTCCAGAGCCTTTACTTTCTTTGCATGCCAGTATAGCCACAGTAGTACTATCTATTTTCAGAAGCATCTACTAACCCTCCTTCACAACTCTGTGTAGTAAGAACTTCCAGGTTTGGAGGAGCATGTGACTCCCTCCATGTTCATTATATTAACCCTGTTAATTTTCCCTTCAAAGGCAAAGCACAGATTTATTTTAAAGAGCGATGGTTCTCCAGGTGAATTAATAGGGGTCTAGTGGATCCCTTTACAAGTCACTACATCTTTGATGGATTATGATTCTCTTGGCATTTGCTTCATACATTAACTGAATTTATAGATTAGCTAGGAACTGTGTATTACTAGTGCCAGTATCACTAGTTCTGTTTATTCTTTAATTCACTTTTTTGTACAGTAACTGTTGGGCTACTGTATATACAAGTGCAAACCAGGGGCGGCCTGACTGACCATTTGGGAACTCGGGCACTGCCCGAGGGCCCGGGGTCAGTAGGGGGTCCCATGAGATGCCTCTGGTACCTTTTTCGTAGGCTTTTTTGAGTTTGGGCAAGGACACAGGGGCCCCATGATCCCCTATTGCTCGGGGCCCCATGAGTTGTCAGTCCGCCCCTGGTGCAAACTACCTAACAAACTAAGTTATATAAAAAGCAGCAAGAAGAATGGGGTAAATCAGGGTTTGGCACAGTATAAGGAAAGGGTAAAATGGGTCAGAAACAGGGCAAGAAAAGGTGGTCAGGAACACAGGAAACAGATGGAGGCAGCAAGATCTGAAGAACGGGGATCAGTACACATGAAGCAAGTAGCCAGGTGCCAGTAGAATTGAGGCCAGGCACACAGGAAACAGGTATAGGCAGCAGGACCAAGAAAATGAAGGCCAGGTACACAGGCGGAAGGTACATACAGCAAGTTCAAGAGAATAAGAGAATGGAGGCCACGTACACAGGGAGATGGTACATGCTGAAGGATCAGGATCAATGGTACAAGGAATAGCAGAACAGAGAGTATGGACACACAAGTAACACCTTGTGCACAATTGGCACTTAACCCTGATGTATGAGACTAGTGTTTAGGTGCAGGTAGAGGGCAAAGGTGCACTGTCCAGCTCCGCTTTGGACATCCTTTAAACTCTATGAGAGGATGACAGCTGCTGCAGCTGAAATGGGCTGGATGGTTCACTGAGTGGTACTAATGTTTAGGGCAGTATGCTCCCTAAGTCAAATACTAAAAATGCAGAAGGTTTGGGTTCCGAGCATTTGTCCCTGGGTCAGGGGCGGACTGACCATTTAGAAACTCGGGCACTGCCCGAGGGTCCGGGGTCAGTTGGGGGCCCCATGAGATGCCCCTGGTACCTTTTTCATAGGCTTTTTTGAGTTTGGGCAAGGACACAGGGGCCCAATGATCCCCTATTGCCCGGGGGCCCCATGAGTTGTCAGTCCGCCCCTGCCCTGGGTGAATACTGCCCTTAAAAGTTAGTAGCACCATCCAGTCCTGTCCAGCTGCAGCAGCTTTCAGCCACTCATGTACAGGCTGCTGGCAGACAGAATGGATGGTGCACCTTTATCTTCTGCCCATACCTAAATGCTGGAATCTCATGCACCAGGGTTAAACAACCAATATGCACGAGGCCTAAAACTATGAGGAACTGTGAAATTCCTGAGGTGGGGCTAAATATCCACCCAGCACCCAGAAGACTACTTTTTGGGACACAATGGCTGCTGGGAGACAATTGCCAGTGAATACTTGAACTACACCTTCATATCCAGAGATATCAGTTCTGCCAGCAGGCTCACTAGTTTCTAAGAATAACTTATCTTTGCTATGTCTGCAATGTAATATGTATGAAGTGTTAATAATAAAACTGCTTTCAAATAAGTTATGTTTTTGCAGGTGATGTATAAAAGAGATGAGGTCCATTCAGTCATGTGTAATGCATACGAGTCTTCTGGGACAAGTATAAGAGTTAGTAGTCTAATGAGCCTTTTTTCAGTTAAGGCAGCACACGAGGGAGAACAAGAAAATAGAAAAATAATTTTTAGGTTAAGAATGTGCATGCTTTTGACTGTAATGAAAATGAACAAAATGTAATGATAAAAACAGTATAAAACTACATTTGCTATAGCTTTTTGTTAAATCAATCTATTTAATAAAATGTTCACTTATTTTAAAATATATGTGTTGAGGACTTTGCAAACTTTCTTGTTAGAAGGTTTGCATTTGTTAACTAAAAAGAGACAACCACTTTTGCTTATTATTCCTTTTTTTATTATTCATCATTCCCATTTGGTTTCTTTCCACTTGGAACTCAGTACATCAGCATATTCTTGATTTAATCTTAAAACACCTTTACTGAAAATTATGTAAATACATTATATATCCTCCAGCAATCAAATAAAATGGTACTTTAAAACCAGGGTTAAAAGCCACATATTCCTAAACTGGTAACGCAGAAAATGCACAGATTCAATGTTTTCTACTGCTTTGCTGGTAAAAAAAATAAAAAGATATTGGCTTATGCCTGCTCCTGCTTTACTCATTTGTAACAATTTCATCATATCTTATTTATTGATTAAAACTTATATGTAAATTGTCTCAGCTTGAATATGTTTAGTGTGATATATTGAAACATTACTTTTATAAAATGTGTGGGCACCAAGTTTTTGTATTATGCTTTTTTTGGGGTTCAGAAATAGTATCATTATAATCCAAATAAAGCAAGAATCTCAAAAGGTTGCAACCTGAATAAGCCTATGTGCATGTGGGTGCAGCGTGGTGCATCCGCAGTGATTACAGAGTTCAGTTGTAGTAAACAGAACTTCTATAAACAGTGACTAAAAAAAGTACACATAAACAGCGCTATGTCAAAACACAATGTCCAATTGATATTAAAGGATAACGGATAGAAAAAAACTTCCACCAAAAAAAAAAAATAAATAAATAAAAAGATAATGAGAAAAGTTCAATTCATTCCAGTGGTAAGTGTTTCTTTAACCACTTCCATACAGGCACTTTTACCCCCTTCCTGCCCAGGACAATTTTCATGTTTCAGCGCTCTCACACTTTGAATGACAATTGCGCGGTCATAAAACACTGTACCCAAACTAAAATGTTATCATTTTCTTCACACAACTAGAGCTTTCTTTTGGTGGTATTTAATCAACACTGGGGTTTTTATTTTTTGCTAAATTACCAAAAAAAGACCAACAATTTTGAAAATAACACGTTTTTCTTTGTTTCTGTTGTAAAAGTTTGCAAATAAATAATTGTTCGTCATAAATTTAGGCCAAGATGTATTCTGCTACATGTCTTTGGTGAAAATAACCCAAATTAGGATTTATTATTTAGTTTGTAGGAAAGTTATAGAGTTCACAAACTATGGTATAGATCTGAAAATTGATCAGTCCTGAAGTACTGACAGCCAACCTAATTTTTTGAGGTCCAAGAATGTCAGAACAGTACAGATATTCCCCAAATGACCCTTTTTTGCAGAGTAGACAGTCCGACGTACTTCATAAGAGGCATGGTGAGTTTTTTAAAGTTTTAATTTTGTTATCATAATTTTTTGGAAAATGAAAAAATTAAAAAAATTATTTTCACTATTTTTTTTTTTTACATACTGTCACCAGTGCAGTACAGCATCATCATATAACTGGCATGGCGGTGATCAGGGACACTGACTGGTGACAGTACAAAAAAAAAAAATATATAATTAAAAAAAATATATTTTTTTATTAGTTTTAATTTTTTATTACATTTTTTTATTTTTTTAGATTTTTTTTTTCATATTTCACTATGACCAAAGAAGTATATTGTTACCATAGTAACATTGTACTACTTTGGAGAAGTGACCCCAAGTCAGTACCCCCCAATGTTAGAATGTCCGCCGCAGTCCCGCCATAAGTCGCTGATCGCCGTCCCATAAGTCGCTGATCGCCGCCATTATTAGTATAAAAAAAAACTAAAAATCCCAGTATCTTTCCCGCCATTTGTAAACGCTATAACTTTCACGTAAACCAATTAATTTACACGTATTGAGATTTTTTTTTTAGCAAAGACATGTCGCAGAATGCATTTTGGCAGAAATGTATGACTAAATTTGATTTTAAAATTTTTTTTTTTTACTGGACATGTTTTATAGCAAAAAGTCCAAAATATTGTTTTTTTTCCTAAAAATTGTCAGTCTTTTTTTATAGCGCAAAAAATAAAAACCGCACAGGCGATCAAATATGACCGAAAGAAAGCTCAATTTCTGGGAAAAAAAAGGATGTAAATTTCATTTATGTACCGTATTGCATGATCGCACAATTGTCCGTTAAACTAGCGCAGCGCTGTATAGCAAAAAAAATGGTGTAAATTGCAGTATCTATACCATAGTTTGTAGACACTATAACTTCCACACAAAGCAATCAATATACACTTATTGGGATTTTTTTTACCAAAAACATGTAGCAGAATACATTTTGGCCTAAATTTATAACTAACTTTGAGTTTACTATATATTTTTTTATAGCTGAAAGTAAAAATATTGTTTTTCTTCAAAATTTTTGAAATTTTTTTTGTTTATAGCGTGAAAAATAAAAAGCGCACAGGTGATCAAATACCACTGAAAGAAAGCTCTATTTGTCTGAAAAAAAGGGCGTAAATTTTGTTTGGAAGCAGCATTGCATGACCGCGCAATTATCAGTTGAATTAGTGCAGCACCGAGTAGCAAAAAAAGGCCTGGTCATTAAGGGGGTAAATCCTCTGGAGGTCAAGTGGTTAATAACTAAATCATTCAAATTCATCTCTTTTTGTACTGTAGCCAAACAAGGTCCATGTATTTTATGACAATATAAAGTATTAAGTGCAAACAAATGGGAGTCTGCTAACTTCCTAACTAACTCTGAATCTGCTGTTTCAGTGGCACACATTGGTTATGATTTACTAAAGGAACATAGCATGTTCACTTTAAAAATAAAATTGTACTTTGCAAAATAAAAATCCACTTATCTTAGTGAATTAGGTAAAACCACGTTAAAATTAAATCTAATCACAGGAAATTTTAAAATTGTATTAAACCCAAAAGCAAATATGTATTATACTGCAGCTTGCCATTTCTTAGATAAGGTGGCTACATTAGTTTTCTTTTTAGGCTTTCTTTCCTTTATTTTCATCTGGTTAGTAAGTCTGTTGTTTTTCAGCAGAGCAAGGTGTTCTGCAGATGTTAACAGGTAAATAGAAGAACCAGCAACACAGTGACTCCATAGGAAACAACAATCTTTACATTCTTCTATAAAGGGGTGTGCAAACCAGCATACAAAAGTGTTAATGAGTTTCAGCCCACAGAGGCCTTAGTCATAGTTGAAAAAGCATACACATTTACATCCTCTAATAATCTCCTTTAACTACACCCTTGGAAATCATAAGGGAGAGGTAAAATATTAACCCTTTTAGGTTCACAAGATATAATTTTAAAACATTATAAATCGAATACAAATATAAAAATAATGAGCAGCAAGATATATAAAAAACTACATGTATACAGTAGAAATATAAATAAACAGCGCAAAATTAGATTCTTAATCACTCATAAAAACTTATAA